CGCCATGCACTGGAGCTACCTGCCTACAGTTTGCGACCCCTGTTCCACGCGACCTGGGGACACCGGACCCGGCTCAAGACATGGACAATGACGATCATGCTGATACCGCAAAGGACAACTAACACTTTGGCTGGAAAACTTGAGAGAGGGTAAGTTTATTTGGTTCGTATGATAACCACAGTGGCTGTAGAGGTCTAACCCAACTGTTTCACTACGCTTCGTACAGAAGTGCATCGCCACCTTCAATACGTCTTCAGGTGCTTCGCGGAAAGCCAAGTTGGCGTGGCGTCGGAGATAGCGCTTAAGAAATGAGAAGCCAACCTCGATAGGACTTAGGTCGGGAGAGTAAGGAGGCAGAAAATTGGAAGTGCACCAGTAGCGTGAATGAGAACTTGAAGTTTTTGATATATGTGGATCTTGGCGCTGTCTAGTACGAGAATTGAGCGTGGTAAGGGCCATGGACTCAGAAAGGGGGCTATCTTGCTCTTGAAAACACGGTGGAAGTTCCACCTGGTGAAGGTGTTGCTGGTCATTCCCCACGCGAAAAATCCAGTGACGTCCATGGCAGCCAAAACGGAGGCGTGAGTTCCTCGAGAAAATGGAATGCTGACATTTACGGGGGCGTTGCAAGCTGACCACCCGCGGCGACGTTGCACAGACCTATGCATTAGCATTACTAGAAAATACATTACAAAAAAACAAATAGCTAAGTTACCTTCCGTCTTTTGATGTTTCATCAACGAAGACAAGTTGGTCCGGTCCGCTGTAAAATGGACTCGGTCTTGATATAAATTCTCTTCTCTCGCGAGGGAGGCTTTCGTGAGCTCGCTTTGTCAGAACTTTACGAGTTAACCCAAAGTCAAACCGCAGGGCGCGACATATTATAGCATCCGACAGGCATAGACCGCTAGAAAGCTAGCTTAAATTGCCTCGCGAAGCTCTTTAAAATAAAAACATGCATGATTCTTTAAGTATTCCGATACAGGCGAACAAACCGTTTCAGCTTCTTTTCAGCAGCCGCCTTCTTGTCAACGTTGCTTGTCATTAAAAATCTTTGGTACCATCTAGTAAGGCTCCTTTCAGAAATATAAGTAGCGTAGCCACTACACTCAGCTGTATGTCATACGCATAGGTGAGTACATTAGCACGCCACCTCAGATTTAAAGAAGAAGTCATTTTAACTTCGTGATGGCACGTAATGTCTACGATTTTAGCTGCAGAAGCCAGAATGCCGAGCATATCGTCGGCAAGCGGGTGTTTGGTTGTTGCTGGCTGGCAGGCTTTCCTGTAACCGGTATAATAAAACTGACTTTTGTGCATAACATAAAAATGAGGCGAGCTCATAATTGAACGAGTTGAGAAACATACTTTTTTTTTCTCTCAGATCAGACAAATATCGGAAAGTAATAATAGATAAGGAGATTTGCACAAGGCTATCAAATCCAAAGATGACCAGACTAAGCTCATTTTTCTATATCATAAGAAAGCGAAAAAAACTTTACCCCTCTCTGAAGTGACAGTTTAATGGTCATGTAATGGTGGGAAACCCCATTCAAGATAAGTACGTCCTCACGCTGCGAATGAAGATCCTTATATCAAAACCAACCACGCTTTCGCTGAAGCAGTACAGCATAAGTAAAAAAAAACGATTATCCGGACCAGACATCTTTCAGCTTAGTCAGATCCCATCAAATAATTTTCATAAATTCCTCGTTCTAAGTACAGGAAGTTATGTTTTAAGTGCGATTTGTACCTAAGTTCGTGATTTATGAATTTTATGGCTAAATTCATTTTGCCTCCCAATGAGTTATGGATCCAGCCACCGCTCCTTAGATTCTCCCCCGGGTTTGCGCCCTGGCGCACGGCGGTATGCATTGATGACGCCATACTGAGCTGTCAGAAAAAAGTACAATTTGCCAGTTCAATGAGAGCGACGGCATGCTGTAGCCGTCACTGGTCCAAACAAACACTTCAGAGTCTAAATCAGACGCTGGGAGTCTGCTGCAGAGTCCGCATGCTTTGTACAGAGTAGCGATATTTTTCGTCATAAATAATACTAAATGAATTAAAAACTTCTAATGCAGTTCTAAAGCCCAGCCATTTTTTCACGTTTTCCACAATCTCTTCACGGGGGGGCATTAAATAGGACCAAAACAGCAAATTTGGTAGAAATTCACATTATCAACGTCGAAACGACCAATGCGATGTACCAATTCATGCACAGTGTTAGCAGAAATACATAGTATTCAAGTACCATTGACAGCAGAGAGGAAAAATGCAGTTATGCTAAAATCTCCAATCTCTGCGTACGATACGGAAGCTAATAGTTTTGTGCTCGCAGGAGCAAAGCGATAGACTTGCGGAATTGGTTTCAGTCAGATATTAAAGCGCGTGAATCTACTTTTTAATCTTCTCGCATTGACAATTTTTTAACAAGCCCGCTAATGTGCGAAGGTATAAATCGTTTTTAACTCCAAATTCTAGACGGATTCAGCCCAAAACTTACAGCGACCTATCGTGTACCTTAGCCTCACGCTGAATTCCGCATGCCTTTTTGGGGATCTCGCTCATAGCGGTATACAGTACATGTTCTTAAACTCTTTGAAGTGCACTAAAATATTGTCGAAAACAGCGTTCGAAACAGAAAACTCGTAGCCGGTATTAATAGTTTAAAGTGCTTCGTATTTTTTATGTATTTTTAAAAATGTGCTTACTAATACTGTATGGATTTGCCATGCCGTAAACAACCCTCCATTTACCGTACCGGTAAAATACAGTAAGCACTTACCCTACCAATAATACGTACTTGATTCATCTTCAACTTTGGCGCTGCATGCGGCTAGCGAGCGTTCGGGGGCTTGTGCATCACCCAGCACTGGGAGGGTCTAAGGAGCGCCCGCTTCGGAGCGCCCGTGAAAGAAAAAAACTCAAATGTACAGTACTGCTGTGAGAGAGATAGGACATACTCGTAGCGTACAGATACATGTAAAATGAGAGCACAGCGATCTACACTGTAATACATATCCTCTGTCATATTCGTCGATTTTTCAAAAGTGTTAATTATCATCCCTTGTAGTGCTTTGTAAAGATGAGTTTGAAAACATTGTCACATTTTCTACTCCTGTAAACTTACCAAAAATGATGTTTTCATCCGTGTCCGTTGGTGAGTCTCCTGCAGCTACATGTCACGATCAGACTGAATTTAAATTGGCACCGCAAAATGCTATTAATATCGGATTGTGAGCATTTATAAAAAATATCATTGGAAGAAATTTAAAAAAAATTAAGCTCTAAAGCTTTACAAAACTATCAGCGGGTTCTACCAAATAATATGCGGTATGCTTTTCCATTAGTATACCCTCAAATTGCGCTAGGGTCTACTATTTGGAGTGGTATTATAAATTTGAGACGGCATCGGTCATGAAGCTGGCATCAGCCCCAACTTAAGCTATCGATAGAGTCTCTGAAGAGATTTTCGTAAATTCAATTATAAAACAGTTTACTGGTTACATTTGAGCTTGATGTGCTTTAAGTACTGTAAAGTCTCCCTAAAAAACGTATTTATATTAACTTCTCGGCGTTAATGCTCGCAAGGCGTTCAGGAGCCATATTGTAGTGTACTCGAGAGAAATGAGCGTAGCAATATACTTTTATTTACTAGCAAGAAGTTAAGGTATTGTGTATGTATAATATTCGATAGAGTGGGTGGAATGGTAATTTTCAAAACTGTATACCTTGAAAATGAGCAAGGGTGCTTTATTCGGAGCGGGTATACTTCTTCGTACAGTACTGCACCCCGTTTTCGCGAATATGGATTATACAGAGCTGGCAAGGAAATCAGACTTTAGAAAACAAAACCTGGTTCATTTGGATTTTGGCTCATCACATCCGGAAGTTTATTAAAGGTCCAAGGCGTGAAAACGGGTGCTGTATTGTAGAATCCGTTTGTACGATAATACCGGTAGTGCTCCTCAAGTTAAACGACACGCAATTCAGCAGATCCCACGCATCGCGCACATCCGATCCGATTCGGACCGGTGGTCCGTATGTGCTTACAGTGCTGCATCCATCGCTTAGGCAAAACCTTAGTGGAGTCTCAGATACGCCTTGAGATATGCGAGCAGGGAATTGCTATTAGTCGAGCTGGAATGGAGACCATTCTGCCTTTTTGGTGACCAGTGCACACACCGGGACCTGCGCAGTACATCATGGCCTCAGTAACTCACGGACTTAGTCGCCTCTCCCAGCTTTCAGCAGCCTCCATTACTCGTGACAAGAACCGAAACACTAACGTCGAGTCTCCAGCGCAGATGCTGCTACACAGTCCTACGGGCAACACGTCGTCGGATGTGCGCAAACAAAGCTCGAAGAAACTGGCTCACATCACCAATGCTGTCATGTACGGCATTATCAACTCGATATTAGCCATCCCAGCCATATATGGCTACACCGTTATCATCTTCAGCCATCGCGATTTCCAAGATTTCATGCCGGCACTCGCCAAGCTCGTCGTGTACTCCAGCGTCGTTCACCAAATCATGTTCACTCTAATGAGCTCGATGCCATTTTCCATCGGACAAGTACAGGATGGCGGCCTTATTTTCCTTAGCACCATGGCTACTTCCATCTGCAACTCGTTGGGCGACGACGTTCCGCTCGAAGCCAAGGTGGCAACCTCCGTTGTCACGATAGGAATCGCCACAGCGCTGTTCGGTGTCTGTCTTGTCGTCATGGGAAAGATGAAGTTGGCCGAGCTGGCGTCGTATCTGCCGATACCCGTCATCGGCGGCTACTTGGCCTTCATCGGCATCTTTTGTCTCTATGCCGGACTCGCCCTGTGTACGGGCCTGATCGTCAACGACATCGGGTCCATGATCAGAGTCTTCGATAACCCACACGACATCCTGCTGTGCGTTCCGGGTGTGCTTGGTGGCGCCTTCCTCCTTGTAGTATCCCAGCGCTACGACAACTAATTCATTCTGTCTGCCGCGATCATGATCATGCCAGCGGTTTTCTTCTTCATCCTGCTCGTCGGTGGAATCTCAATGGACGAGGCACGCGACGGCGGATGGATTGACCCCGCGATGGAACCTGCCACAGTCACGGATCTGGTCAGTCTTTTTGATTTCTCTCTGGTGCATTGGAGCGAATTACCGAAGCAATTTGGCACCTGGGTCAGCATGGTTTTCATTGTGGCGTTTGGGTCCTGTTTGGATATCGCTGCTATCGAGCTCGACATGGACAAGAAACTCGACTTCAATCAGGAGCTCAACACTGTCGGCTGGTCCAATGTGGTGAGTGGTCTACTGGGTGGATGCACGGGTTCCTACATCTTCTCGCAGACCATCTTTACGTACCGTTCGAAGACCAACTCACGAATTGTCGGCGTGTGCGTGATCATCGCTGAGTCTGCTATTATGGTCGCGCCCATTTCCGTCATGAGCTACGTGCCACGGTTTTTCTTTGCAGCGACGCTCATCTTCATCGCCATCGACCTCCTGATTGAGTGGCTCGTGTTGGCACACAAGCAGATGTCGCGGCTCGAATATGCTGTTCTGTGGGTGACTTTCATTTGCGTGAACCTCGTGTCTCTTGAAATGGGCATAGCCATCGGTGCCGGCGCTGCAATTTTAAACTTCTTGTTTGGCTTCATTCGCCTGCCTGTTGTGGATCGGAAACCTCGTTTATCGGACGTGGAGCGACCTCTTACTGAGCGCCAAGTACTGGATCAGAAGAGCAATGCTATCGCGTATTTCGAGCTGCGCGGCTTCCTGTTCTTTGGATCGTCGGTGCAAATTCTTGACACTGTTCAGAAAGCGGTGTATATTCGCAAGCCGGAAGTAGATGATGGCGAAAGCGATGATAGGTCGTTCTACCATAGTGATGCAAGTATGGTACTGCTCACTCCAGACCATAAACGGAGGCCATTGATCGCGTGTCTCGATGGGACTCCCGCGTCCAGCCCTGGCGTACAACCGACCGAATATGTGGTTATGGACTTTACTGGTGTTACCGCGGCGGATTCTACGGTGGTGCGAAGTGCATTTCTCATCCTACAAAAGTACTGCAGCAATCATGGCATTACAGTTGTGTACGCTGGAGCGATACCCGAGATTCAAAACCTTCTCGTCAAAAACAATATCGTGGGCGACGAGGGCTTCTTTTCGAACGCGAGCTCAGCACTTGAGTTTTGCGAGACACAACTATTGAGCAGCTTAGATTTTTCCATTGAAATCTCTTGCAGTCACCGCAGCGACCCTGGTAGTCCTGCTCTTCGCTGGTAAGTGCTACTACAGTACTTAAGTAGATTGTTTGCCAGTCAATTTTAAAGTTTGTTCAAAATTTAGCGCTTTCCAATTTACTAAAAGTTTCGCTTGATGTGGGCGCGTTAGAAACGTAGTCACGATATAGAAATGGCTACGCTGAAGTCGCTAGCCAATCAAAATGTTTCAACGATGTTTGTTTGTCTTTTCTCGCTTGTTTTTTCTTTTTCTTATACAGTACTGCACCCCGTTTTCGCGCCCTTGGACCTTTGATAAACTTCCGGATGTGATGATCATGAATCCAAATGAACTATCGTTTGTATGCTAAAATCGAATTTATTTGCAGATCCTATATGGTCCACCCCCGCGAAAACGGGGTGCAGTACTGGGTACTTTTCGATCATCGAGCCCATGGTAAGCTGCTTTACAATCACACCAGCTACGGCGGGAAGCAAAAGGGTCGTCATCGCAGAAGCACGCACCAGTTGATTATCACGTCACGATTGTTGCAGGGTCATCACGACAAATCTGTATTCATCGGGAACTGTTCCCACTGTAGACGTTGTGGCCAGCCGGGATAGGTGTGACGTCTACCCTAGGCACGGAAGCTGTATTACTCAAGTAGGATTGAATACATTCAAAGTTGGGAGTTTTTTTTATCAGAATCATAATGTGCTCAAAAGCCAAGATCCGATAAACAGAGTAAGTCGGGCAGGCTCAGGAACAGCGACGAAAGCACAGAGCTAATCTACCTGTGCAAAGAAAGCGAACAAGTAAGGGGTGGCACAGCGCATTCATTTGTCATAAACGATACCTCGAAACCCTGTGGAATTCCATACAAGTCGCAACACGTGTCATCGGCTCGCACTGCGAGTCAAAGATCTTCTGTGTCTACCGTAGCCCCTACGCCCGGTGCCGGCTATTTACACTGCGCGCAATGGATACGGTGTGAATAGGCCCGATGACTACAGATTTGTCGTGATGACCCTGCTTGTCAAGTCAACATTCGAACTGGTCGTCATCGCAGAATCATGGCGTGCTTCTGCGAAGACGGCCAGTTTGTCTCCCGCCGAAACTGACGTGCTTGCAGAGTAGCTTATCAGCGACTCGATGATCGAGAAGTACATATATTCGGAAAAGAAAAACGAACGGAAAAAGTCAGGAAAGATTAAACATTCTGATTGGGTTAGCGACTTCAGCATAGCCATTTCTATATGGGAGCACGTTTCTAACGCGTCAACATAATATTATGTACATTCAGTGTACACATCCCGTCAAAGGCTAGTGCTAGCATCTCCTGCATCACCTGGGCGCTCCGCGAAGTCCTTTCCTTCTTTTCCAAGTGACAAACAGTCTGTCATCTTCTTGCCATGGCACCACCGCCGCCTACGCCGTGTCGGCCGCCCGCCCCTTCTATTCGTGGCTCCTCGTGGCGCCAACCGTCGCCTGTCCAGACTCCGGACTGCACCACACGCACACTCGCCTTCGACTCGGCAGCATCCAGCGCAGCGGACGAGGCCAGCGCCCGAGCAAAGAAGCGTCGACGGAGAGTGACTCAAGCTGCAGCCTTTATCACGGCGCGAAGACCGCTGGACACGGAGCAGGACGACGACGAAGAGACCAAAGACGCAGAGTCCATGTGGACATCCAAGAGCGGAGAGGACGCTGTACGACATCCCACGCACTCGGCAGGACATTTAGAAAACAATAAGCACGCGATGAAGCCTCCATTGACGAATCAGAAGACAACGAGAGGTGTCCAGAAGGACAATCGACAGGCAACGATGGACAGACTGAGACAACTGGTGAAAAAGTGCAGTGCGCAGCACCACGCGGCGTCCGCGCTCTTCTACGCCGACAAACTGGTGACCATGTCCCCTAGAAACGAGAACGACGTGCTGCTGTTTGCAGACGCGTGCTACTTGAACCGAGAGTTCCACCGAGCTATCCACGCCATCAAGAAGGCCAGACTCACGGACGTAGAGAGCGCCAAGGGGATGGCGGTGCCCAGTCGCGTGGCACTGAGAGCCGTTCTACTGCTTGGCAGGTGTATGCTGGCTATCAAGCAGAAGCAGGAGAGTCTGGAGCTACTGGGATCGGTGCTGCCCGACCGGGAACAGGACGTGGTGCTGTTTGCGAAGAAGGTGCAGCAGGTGAATACAGGAGAAGAACAGGCGGAGGGGATCAATGTGGTGTCATCGTTGGCACTGCTGATGGGCGAGACGTTTGAGGCCATCGGAAATCGGGAAAACGCCACGGTCTACTTTCGCATTGCGCTGCGGTGTGACGTTCACTGCTCGGAGGCGTTCTTTCATCTCTTTGACAAGCAAATGCTGTCGCCCCAAGAAGAGAAGGAGCTGGTAGCGTCGCTGGACTTTTCGACGGATGAAATGCATCTACTGGAGCTGTTGTATCCGACTCACGTGGGGAAGGTGTGGCTTAAACGCCTGATTCATCAGTGGGGAATGTCGTGTATGTTACTTACACATGTGGGGTTTTTGCTTGCTGCAGTATGACACGACGCCGCCAGTTGAGGAGAGATTCGCTGTAGTGGAGAATAATTTCGGTCTGACAGACAATTTAGAGCTGGTACAGCTGTGCTGATTGCGGTGATTGATGCACGGGGATGATAGTGCTCACGTGTCCTTCTGGTGGCATGAGCAGAACATCACGAGAGCTGAGACGTATTATTATCAGCACGACATTCAGCAGGCACACGAAATTTGTGAAAGGTACGCGGGTTGCTGTGGAGAGTCTTTGCCGTACGCTCACTCGGATCGCTCTAACTGTATGTAATGTCTGTATCAGTGTTCGCGAGAAGGACCCATTCAATTTCCGCGTAATTTCAGTGTATGTGGGTACATTAGTGGAACTTGGAAAGAAACGAGAGCTTTACCACTACGCACACCAAATGGTAGGTAGCTCTGCTGGCTATCGTCCCCGTTGGGCAACGCTGACACTGTTTGCTGTAGGTGGATGTGTACCCCACAAAAGCTTCAGCCTGGTACACTGTGGGCTGCTACTATCTCCTGATCCAGAAATATGACGCTGCACAAAGATATTTCCAGTACGTGCAAGCAGTGGGAACACCTTCGTTTATAGTACGAAGGGTGGCTTACGACTTGATGCGTTTTCTTACAGCAAAGCGACATCTCTAGAGCCGAGCTACGCGCCAGCCTGGATCGGATTTGGGAACTCTTTCGCTGCCCAGGATGAAAGTGACCAGGCCATGTCATCCTACCGGACTGCTCTGAGTCTTTTTCCTGGTTCCCATTTGCCACCTCTGTACATGGGCATGGAGTATCTTCGTACCAACAACTTAGTCCAAGCTAAGGAGTTTATTCGTCAAGCGAGCGTTATCTGCCCAACGGACCCATTGGTTTACAACGAATTGGGCAGCGTGTACTACAAGGAAAAGGACTATCCTACAGCGATCGAGATGTTCAGTAAGGCTCTTCAGTTGTGCGAGGGCCTTCCAGAGGTGAGAATTGTGCTGTCAAGGATGTGTAGTCTGCTCTGGAGTCTCAGTCTGGTCGTGATTTCTGTTCTTCAGCGACTTATGGAGGCGTGGGAGCCGACGCTTTTCAACCTTGGATACTCATACCGCAAATTACGGTGCGTTTAGCTGCATTGAAGAACCGAGGTGTGTACTGACCACATCTGTGCTTATAACAGCAAGTTTGACCAGGCTATTCACTACTTCCGAAGTGCACTACGGTTATCACCTCGGAATGTCCGTTTTGACTTATGCTACCAAGTGTACTGTGTGTAGAAGAATGAGCTCACTCGCATGTTTGTCTGTGATTCCTGCATCCAGTCCTCCATTCTTGCTGCTCTGGGCTTCACCTATCACATGAAGGGCAATCTAGAAGAAGCGATCGAGTCTTACCATTCGGTAAGGATCTTGCGTGACTTTTGTTGTGCAGTGGGTCATCTGTTCTAATGATCATTGCATTATGTAGGCACTTGCGTACGCCCCTGAAGATACTCTTGCGGGGTCCATGATCACCATTGCGTTTGAGGAATCTCTGTCCGGCGGACCTGGTTCGTTCCCTGAATTTGCAGAGCCGCCCCCGAAGAATGCCCCCAAGACAAGTGGCCTCACTCCTCTGAGGGCTCGTCGTTCGACTGGGAACCAATCTTACAGCAGCATCGAACGCAGTCGACAGTCTCTCGCATGTTCAAGTCTGAACTTATCGGATGACAGCTCGATGATGAACGTGGACGAGGACTGACCAAAGTTGGGATGAATCTGAAGCGAGGTCGATGATTCTGTTATGCCCAGTACTGCTCTCCTGTGATGTTGTTGTAATAATATGCTGCGCCCGTGTACTGGTCATAGAACTTCTCCCATGGATCCGGTGGGACTGCTTCTACCGCATTCTCTGTCTCGGCTGGCGCGTCTGCTGCTGGCTCCTGAGGATACTGCTGCTCTGGTTGACCCATTACCGGGTTCCCGTATCCCATCACCGGCGCGCCATACATCATGGCTTGGCCGAATGCCATCGCTGCTGCTACCTGATAGGCTGCAGCTGCGGCCGCATAGTTTGGTTGCATCATCTGTGGGTATCCTTGTCCGTACGCCGGGGCACCATAGTACGCCGCGTTGTTCTGTTCGTAGTAGTGATACTGACCGTACTGATCGTAATAGCCGTACTCGTCCGCGTAGCTCTCGGCGGGAGGTGCTGTAACAGGGTTGCCATTGGCGTCCACTTGTCCAGTGACGGCGTAGTCGACATATCCAGCTGCTGCGTCCTCCTCGCGTTTTTCTGCCAACCCGGTGACGGTCTCCATCGCCTTTGCCGCTGGCGTCGAGACTGGCCGAGTCCAACTTGCCTCCTGCGTGCGGATGTTGTAGAAATACGACGCCTGTGCGTTCTCGTCCCAGTACTCGACCCACTCGTCCGCCTTCGTCTCCTCGGAGTCGTCAGCAACACTCGCCTCAGCCTCCCCAGCTTCGATAAGAGCTTCAGCCACCTCCGCTTCAGCTGCTTCAATGGTTTCTTGCATTGCCTTCGCCCGGTCCTCACGTTCCTTGTCGATTTTATGCTGAATAGCCTTCACGCGCTGCCGAGCCAAGTACCCACGAGCACAACACTGGATCTTCCTGGCCGACGAGTTGCACAAAGCGATCCGTTCTTTCTCCTTTCTCGCGCGTTCCAGCATCTGGACTTCGAGCTCTTTAATCTCCTGTTCGCGAGCTCGAGCCTCGTCGTCCATCATGACTTTTAGTCTCGCTAGAGCCATCTCCTTGTGCTGTTCAGCCTGGAGTCTCAAACGCTGCTCCTCGTCGTGGATACTCGCCATAGCTGCGGCTTGAGCTTGCTGAAGCTTGACGAGCCGCTTGCGAGCCACGTGCTTCAAGCAAATTGCGTGGATTTTCAACCGAGCCTGGTCCTTCTGGATAGCGAGAGCCGCTTGTTTCAAGTGCTCAGCTTCTTGCTGCAGTGTGCGGTCGATCTTGTCTTGCTCGTCTATCGCTGGAAGCAGGGAAGCGAGCTTCAAGGCCGCCAACTCTTCGTTCTCTTGTGTGCGCACAGCGGCTTCCTTCTCCTGCTGCGCCTGCTTGTCCGCCTCCAGTTTCTCGCGCAGTCGTTGAGCCTCGACCTTCTTCTGCTGGTCGTGCTCAATTCGCGTGTCGATTTCACGCTGCTGCATGAGCGTCTCGAGTCGAAGACGAGCCAGCTCTTGGGCTTCCTCCTTGCGTCGAGCTTCCTCTTCTTCGCGTTGTCGAGCCAGCTCCTCACGCAGCTTTGTTGCTTCCTCATTTGCACTGCTCGCCTGGAACATGAGCTGCATCTTGAGCTGCAGAAGCTCTTCTTCCTGCTCCTGACGCAGCCTCTCGATCTCGTCGTGAGCCTTCTCGGACGCCATCATGGAGATTCGCTTCTCGAACTCTCTTCGTCGCTGCAGCAGGACTCGTCGGGCTCCAGTACGCCGGATAGCACACTGGAGCACAATCGCAGCTTGGTTCTGCGCGAGTCGGAGCTCCTCTTGCTGCTTGCGTCGCACCAGCTCTTGTCTTTGGTACAAGTACTGACAACGAGCCAGGAATCGTCGAGCGCAGCACTGGACTTTGGTTGCAGCGCGTGTTTTAGTCTGTAGAACCAAGCGCTCAAGAGCAAGCCGGGCTTCCTCGCGATGTCTGTGCTGGAGTTCCTGCACTAGTTTCCGAGCTTGCTTACCACGGAACACCTTCTGGATACGCAGGGCAGCTCTCACGCGCGCGCGTTGCTGCGAGGCTAACGTAGCACGCTCCTGTTCCAGTTGGCGTCGCTTCTCTCGGGCTAATTTTCCCCTTGTGATGCCCTGAATACGCTTCGCTGCCTCGTTTTCCTGATGTTGTTGTGCCTTCTGTGCTTGCAGGCGAAGATGAGAGGCCAGGCGACCGTGATAGCCCCGCCAGAACGCCTGGATCTTCAACGCGCTGGTGTTCATGAGGGTGAAGTTCATCCATTTCAGCTTCTCGTACCGAGCTCGTTGTGCGCGACGTCGAGCGACGTATCCACGATACAAGGACTGGATCACCACAGCACCGGTGAGTCGCTTAAATCTCTCGAGCTTCTGAGCTTCCTCTCGCCGTTGCCTGTCAAGCAGATAGTGCTTTCGAGTGATAAAACAGCGCCACCGGGTCTGGACCCTGACAGCTGCTGCGCGTTCAAGCGCTTGTCGTTCCTTGGTCTGTTTTTCCGTCCGCAACATGTGCACTCGACGACGAGCGCGACAAACGCGGAAGAAGCACTGGATCTTTAAGGCAGCCTGAATCTGCTTCCTCATCCTGACCACACGGCATCGTGCGAGGTAGCCGCGTACATATCGCTGCAGTACCTTGGCACTGCGCTCTCGTAGTCGACAAGTTGCGCGACGTTTTCGCTCTCGTCGAGCGAGATAGCCGCGTATAGAGCACTGTAGGATGATGGCACTGTCGTTCTCCAGCTTGGACTGCTGGATAACACGCAGAAGCTCCCGGCGCTGGAAATTCCTGAATGCTCGTTGGATACGACACGCTGCGAGAGTCTCTCGCTGTGCTTTAAACAAAGCTCGGGCCAGTCGTTTGCCAGTGTAGCCACGGTAACAACGCTGCAACTGACAGGCAGCCTCGTGCTCCAGCTTCGCCTGACGCTTTCGACTCGCCAACGTCCGTGCCAATCGCCCTCGGATGAACGCCTGGATGTGGATAACAGCAACCTCTTCTTGCATTCGGAGCCGTAATAAACGCGCGAGGTCTCCGCGGACGACACGCTGGATCTCGATGGCTGCTGAGTGGAGTTCGTTGCGAGCTTGTACGATACACTCGGTCTTCCAGCGTACGAACTTGCGTCTTGTGACTTTCCGTCGCCACCTGTTCATGATCGCCGTCATCTTCTGACCGCCCTTGCATTTCAGGAACATGTTGGCCTTGATCTTGTTGCGCTCGAACATGAGGAATGCATTCCACTTGCGGAACGCTCTCGAGAGCTGCTGGGACTGAAGCCGTAAGAAAAGCTGGTGAACCTTCTCCATGCCCCATCGATGGCAGAAAATCTGCGCCTTCAGAGATCTCACGGGGCAATGCTGCTGGACCCACTGCAGTCCCTCGCGCACCTTCGAGTTGAGCTGTTGAATACCATACTCGGACAGCGCGAGCTCTCGTCGGAGATCGCCGATGTCCACTTTCGCTCCAGGACGAAGACAAGACGGCGTCGAGCGAGCCACAACAAGTGCGCGGTTCCGAGGCTGTAGATGTCGCTTGGCTTGTCGAGCTGCGAGCTTCAAAGGCGGCAGCACTTGTCCTGCATTTCTTGTTAAGATATTTCCAGGGTTTCCTGCTCTGTCCACACTTGTTGGTCCATTTCCAGTCACCCCCATGTGGTTAGCCACCTGAAGAAGTCTCTTGCGAGCGCGCATAAGAGCGATGAACTCGTGGAAGTTAATCTCACCGTCATGGTCTGTGTCGGCTTGTTGGATGATGGAAGCGAGCTCAGCGTCGTCCATGTCTTCACCCGACGCTAGCAGAAGCTGTCGAAGCTCGTCGGGGGATATTGATCCACTGTTATCAGCGTCAAACTCCTGGAACTCCTCGCGATATCGCTTCGTCATGGAGCGTTCGTCCTCCGACGCCAGACTGGACTGCGAGGCATTTCCGAACGCTGCATCCAGGCGCTCGTACTCTTCCAATGTCAAGTTCAAGTGTGTAGCAATCAGAGTCTTTTGACGCTGCTCTTCGTCAAGATCTTCAGCTGGAGTTTCCGGTTTTTCAGCTCGTTCTTGGCCGTCCGAGTCGTAGTCGAACGCGTAATGCCTCGCTGCTCTTCGTCTCGTTCCTGGGCGAAATTCCCCTACAGGCTGCAGCCGTTTACTCTTCCTCGCCTTGTTTCGAGCGCGTTTAGCGGGCGACAAGTACACAGCAGCCGCATCTGGGTCCAGTAGCTCTTGTGTGGATGGCCGCACCTTGGCCGAGTCCAGACGAAGAGCCTTTCGACGGAGCTTTTGCTTGGATGCCAGACCTATTTGTCGCCTTCGCTTGCAAGGTCGCAGCTTCTTGTCAACAGCTTTAATTGAGCTGGAGCCCAACGCTTCCAATCTCGCCGGAGGAGCTTGTCGTCCTCGACTGGACGGCCCACGAGCAGCACGATAGCTGCTGTAGTTATCCTCACTACTTCTCGGACGACGTCGGCTATCGGACGGAGGCAGCAAACTCTTCAAACTGTCCAAGTCCAAGTAGAAGAACGAGGTGTCGCTCTCTGACAAGGAAAGACTGGGCAAAGATGTCGGCACTGGCAGCGGACTCATGTTGGCGCTCTGGAACAACCAAGGCTCATGCTGCTGCACGTCCCGAGGGGGCACTCGTCGACGACGCAGTTGATAAACGTGAGTCTTGGCACTTGAGATTGGAGCTGGAGGAAGAGAAGAGGCCGTGCGACCCCAGCGCCGATCCTCCTCGTGGTTGTTGTTGGTCATTCGCCTCAAGCTGTCGATGCGAACGTCTCTCGAGCCTCAATTCGTGCCCAGTAATGTTGGATCGCTAGTCGAAACGTAAGACTCGCCTATTTCTAGTTCGTCGCAGCCGCACTGGATGAAGACGCCGACGCAGCAGCTCAAACATACATGACATTATCTCTATCTAGTTTTGTCTCTAAAGGGGGAAGTCTACTCGGCGCCAGGACGAAGCACCTTGGTGGGGCGGACAGCTGCAGACGTCGAGCCCTTGAGCACAGCGTGTTTGCGCTTGCGCAGCTGCTTGGTACGACGCTTCTGCTCGTTCTTCTGCATCCGTCGCTGAGCAGCACGCTGCGGGTCCGACACGGCTTCAGTGCGACGCTGTAACTTGCGTGCGGCACGGCGTGCAGCCATCTTCCTCTGAACGAACGAATAGGCCTCCAAGAACGATGTGACTCCCAGTTTCTGCTCCAGAAGCTGCAGCACTTCCTGAGCCAGTAACACACTCTCAGGCGGCGTCACAGGCTCCGGAGTAGAGCCGCTTTTGCGGTTCCTGTTACGGTTCTGCTGTCTCTGCAACGCCATTTGCTCTTGTTGAGCCTGCAGCTCTTCCAGCTTGCTGGTCGCGCGATACAGCGGGTTGATGATCTGCACGACGTACTTCTCAGCGAACGCGGCGTCGTGATTGTGTAGCAGAGCAGCGAATAGCTTTAACACCACAGACTGCACCTCGTTGCTGCAGTTTGAGCCACGGGCCACATACGACAGACGAGTGAGCAGCCAGCCCAGAGGCGTGCGCGCCTTGACACGCTCGTCGTTCTTTTCCTGCTCCTCGCGGCGTTGCAGTTCTTCTTCTTCTTCCTTCGGCTCACTCTCCTCGTCTCCATCAACGTCTTCCTCTGTCTTCTCGTCTGCAGCATCCACGTCGTCCACCACAGCATCAGCAGCACCGACATCTTGTGGAACATCCGTAGTCTCCAGTGCCTCACACAAGAACGGCAACGCAGTGAGCACTTCGTTAGCCAAGTCGTCCTTCAGCGCCGGGGCTTCGAGTAGCTTGCTGAACGCGCTAGCCCAAGAGAACAGACGGCCTGGACGCTGCAAGTACAGCGCTCCATTGCGTAGACGCTCGAGAGCTTCTCCAGACAAGCGCTTCACTGGAGCTGTATAAGTGAGGGTGCTGGCTTGACGACGACGCAGATACGACGTCAGCAACCGAGTGGCACCGAGACGCACCCATGCGTGAGGGTACTGAAGCAGCTTAAGCACTACGACGTCCACAAAGTTCGTGGTCGGCTTGGATTCCTCCAGCCACAACTCATAAGGACCCGTGAGATGATCACTGAAGGCGGTGAGGGCCACACAGACGTGATACGTCGGCTGCCATCGCACCTGGTTGCTGTCCTCCACGGTCTGAAGCTCACGCTGGCGACGCTCGAGTGCTGAACGGGCTGCAAGTAACACCTGGGGCGCACTACGCTCGAAAAACTCGGGTCTGGTCTCCAACACTAGCGTCGTCACTTGTGCTGCGGTTCCCAGTAGCTTGACTGCGTCCACGGTATCCGAGTTCGAGGCCTGTGTCCACCACGTCCCCACCAGTAGAATACTCTCGTTCAATTCCTTGTTGCCCAGACGACGCACCAAAGTACTCAACGCCGCACGAGCGAGATCGCGGCACTCGACGGCCTCATCGTTGGCCAGACGCAGCACCAGCGGCAAGAAGAAAAACTGCGAACGAGCGTTCACGAGGTCTTGCGGGAGTTTGGACAGCAGCGAACGCAGAGCCTCCAGCACGGCAGAGCGTCCCGTAGCGTGGCCGTAGCTCAAGTTGTCAACCAAGAACTTGAGGTGACGAGACAGACGCTTGTTGCCAAGTGGATACTCGAGCAGGAAGGTCTGGTAGATGGTCGCGCAGTTCAGACGTGCGCCGGGGGCGTCGCTCTGCACCAACAGCTCGCCAACACGCAGCATCACGTCGTACACTTCGCTGATCACGAGACGCGAGTTCACAACAGCCTTGAGCAGAGCGAACGTGGCGTTCTGATGGTCTCGCTCATCCAGATCAGCACGCAAGAAGCTCAGCAGCACACGCAGCTGCGGCTCTGTGAGTCGGAGGTTCTCGCTCTTAAGGTTCTTGTCTGCTGACCCCTTCTCCTGCGTAAGTTCCAATCCCTGTTGTTGTCTGAGCAGCGCAGTAAGCGTGCGGTAACACGTCTGCACCATCTCGTTGCGTGTAGCAGCTCCAGCCTGTTGCAGGATCTTGAAAAGACGATCAAGAAGCGGTGTACGCGCCACGCGCAGGGCAGGAAGTTCGTCCTGACGGGGAAGCAGCGAGCCTAGACACTTCAACGCGTTAATCACTGCACGGTCGTTCTTGGATTCACCGGCACAGCGCATCAGCAGCGGCACCAGTGGATCCACTAGTTGGGCGGGAGCGCTGATGTTCTTCTTGGCTTCGTCTTCCTGGTCCTTGGCATTGCCGTTCTTGCGAAGGAAAGAGAAGACCAAGAAGACAGCAAAGTTCAGCAGCTCTCGAAGATGCGCCGTGCTCTCAGCCAAGAGAGCTGCAATCTCCTCTCGCTTCTGCTTCTTGGTCTTGCCTTGCTGCTGTTGACGCATCTTGTCAAAACCCGTAACTTGCTGCTGCATGGCCACGCGTGCAGTGTCCCGGGAACTCACGCGCTTGGCGAGAAGCTTAGTGGCAGCTGCGCTCTTCTCCGACACGAGCCAGGAGGTCACCACAGCGGTGCTGCTGCCGCCAGCTTCGTACTGCTTCTTCTCCCTTTCAGTGGTTGGTCGAAGACTCTCGAGACTCGAGTTGAGAACGTTGTAGGCGTACAGGAACATGTAGGACGACTCCACCGACGGGTTCCTCGCGAGTCCGATCGCCACGCGCTTGAGGGCCTCTTGCAATGCAGCGGTGGCTTGCGCTCCAGCATCGGTAGCCTGGAAGCGCTTCACAAGTGCACTCACGACTTCATGGATGCTCGGGTTGGGCAGGAAGGGGAGAGATCGGGCCAACAGCTCAATTGAGTCCAGACTGCGGCCACCACTCGAACGTGCCTCTTTCATCTTGGACTTTTGGGCAGTTTTACGCTCCACGCCACCAGCAGCAGCCTCTGCTGCCTCGCCGATCGTCGTCATGCCCTGGAACAATTCAGCGGCCAGAATTTCCATCAAACTGGGCACACACGCATCCAACGGCGACGTAAACTCCGCCTCACGCTCAGCCTCTTGCTCCTTGCTTTGTGTGAGCAGCGACTGCGGCTTGCGAGGAGGGCCAGTCTTTCCATCTGTCTGCATGATCTCCGGTAGCTTTTCCAACAGCGCATGGACAGTGAAGGACAGCACGTGGACCATGTAGCCATCACGCAGCGTGTGACGAAGCTCCTCCACAATCGGCAATAGGAAACTCGAGCCAAGCTCCACAGCGATGCGAACGAGCGTCGTACGCGCCGACACACGCACAGCTTCGTCCTTACTCTTGAGCAAGTTGGCGAACTTCAGCAGCAGCTTTGGCAGCTCACGCTGGAACGTCTCAGCACGCAGTCGACGCAGGACCTTGACAACTGCAAGCGCCAGGGGAACACGCACCGATACCGCTTCTTCGGACAGTGACGTGGACTCTCCATCGTCGTCCCGCGACTTTTTGGAACTCTTCTTGGAAGCCGCACTCTTGAACAAGTACGAATAGAGCAGCGGAAGCACTTGCGTCTCCATGTTGCCCTGCACCTTGGACGAACCTTCTTTCTCTTCTTCATCCTCCTCAGCTTCGACTGGTTTGTTATCCCTTTGCTTCTTGCTATCCGACGACTTTTGCCATTGCGTGGCAGCACCTGGAGCCTCGAAGTGGAAGTGGTCGACTACAGCGCAAATGGACATAATGATTGCGCCTTCCATCTCTACGTGACCGTCGATCGACTTGAGTAGTCTGCGTAGAAGCGAGAGGTAGTGCGACCAACCCAGAAGACCAGCAGCACTGCCAACACACGCAGCGGCTTCCGCACGCAGAGACTCCTGACTCTTCGCGTGCGTCTCGTAGACGAAGTGCAGCACTAGTGGCAAGATGACGCCATTCACCGTCGAGTTCGAAAAGCACTGAGGTTCCTCACTCTCTTCGTCTTCCTTTGTCTTGGCAGCCATCGAGTCCATGAGCGCGCTAAGACGCTGAAGCGCACGACGTCTGCGGTGAGCCTGGATGTGCGTAATGTTGTAGAAGAAATCGGCTTCCGGGTCTTCCTGGTTGCGCGCCAATATCAAGTCTGCCGGAACGAACGCGAGCTGTTTGAACGCCTCGTGTCGGTCTGCTAGCGACCCCAGCAACATCACGAAGCCGCGTCGAGTGTTCTCGTCGGTAGAGCGCAGACTCGCGCGCACACAAGGCATGACTAGTGACTCCAGCGCATTGAGCACGGGAGACTTGGCAGCATCCTCACGCGCCTTCTGCTCCACTGCCGCCTCTGCGGCGAGTTCCAGGAACGTCGTAAGACCAGCAAGTGCTCCACTTCGCACGGCAAACTCCGTGTCGTGCATAGACTGCAGACACTGCGCCACAAGAGGCGCTAGCAAGTGCGTCTCGGTCGTAAAGCCAGCAAAGCGTGTCGAGTTGAGCCGATTCAACGCAATGAGACGACGTTCGTAGTCCGTCTCCTCGATACGCTTGGCATCATACGCGTTGAGTTCAACCAGCAAGTCCGCCACAGGGGTCAGCTCTGTAAGCGCAGCATGGGCACCTAGCGCCTTAAACACCGCCACAAGTTTGAGACGAGGATCGCGATCAGCAATGCAGTTGATGCCGGGGGCCAACAGCCGTGCAAGCGCAAGCACGTGTTTCTTAGGCTCGGACAGCTTGGGCACCATGTGAGCCAACACCTCCAGCAAGTTCTCCTTGTCCTTCGGTGAAGTCTGATGGTTGCGCAGCAGGAACGGCAACAGCAACTGGAACAAATCGTGCGCAGCAATAGCGATGTCTCCCTCGGACGCTTCCAGATGGTGCGACAGGCGGCAAAGGAACGTAAGCTCTTTCCGTGAGGACCCAGCATATCGGTCGCTCGCGTAGCGTGCAGCCTTAGCCTGGAAACGCTGGACAAACTGCTCCAAGACGAAAGGGATTTGAGGGATCAGCAGCGCCTTCTCCTTCTTCGAGACTGTCATAGACTCGTCTTCAGTCCACAGACGCTCATCTCCGTCCAGCAGTGAGTCCATGAACTGCAAAATGGAATCCAGGATTTCAGGTGAGATGCCACGAGTGGATGAAGACGTTGCGCTTGACGACGTGAGCCCCGCAGACAAACAGGAGATAACGTTAAGCACCAGAGGCCCCGGGATCCACTGACGCGCTCGGTCAGCACGACCCATGGCCACAAGCATCTCCAGCAGAGCTGACGCCTTGCCTGCGCCGACAACCGCATTGGGCAAGTGTGTGATCGCATCGCGAGAAGTTTCCAAGACGGCAACTATCCACGGTTGAAGGTGCACGAGAGTGTCAAACTACACAAAAGAAATAAAAGTGTTAGAACCTGATACCAGTGATAAACATGCGAAGGTTGAGGCTTCGTACCGTGTCAATCATCTCCGCAAGGCGGCGGTAGGTCAGCATGCGAATCTGCTTCTTCATCGACGCAGAAGTCGCCAGCGTGTCCACAGTTGACGAGTCACCATTAGCCTTGCGCTTGGAGCCAACCGCGACCACCGCATCTTCGTCTTCTGCAACGTTTTCACTGTCGGCTGAGCCATCCACATCTTCGTCTTCGCTAGAAGTAATACTGATCTGGAGAATTGCCAGCAGGACATCAGCAATTCGAGGAGCGAAAGCAGCCAGCTTGACTCCGAGTTGGTTGATAAGGTCCTCCAAAAGGTTCAAGAAGCCCAAGATACGTGAAGGCTGCACGGTGGACACGGCAGCAACAGGTTTCACCTCATCAGCAGCATCAGGAGCGCCAGTAGAGCGAGTCTCGGGAGCTTCAATCGTCACATCAAATGCGCGCACCACCAATTCCACGAAGCTGGCAAGCTCAGGCGCCTCCAATGCAGCCAAGTACGCTAGAATCGCAGCACGTCGAGCGGCCACAGTGTCTCCATTGTTACGCCCTTTCTTGCTGACACACTTGGAGTACAGCACTCGCAGCAGCACAGGCAGCAGCTCCGGACGGTGCTCACGCAGGACGACGCTCTCGCCATCTCCAACCTTAAAGCTCGCGAGCTCTTCACGGAAAGTAGTCGAGTCCGTCAGTCGGTTCAGCTGCGCCTTGTACGAAACAACAGCCTTGCTACCGAAGGCATATAGACACTGCAGCGCCAGCTTCGAGACCACTTCGTCCGACTTCATCAGCAGATCGAAGAAGAGCGCATGCAGCACCTGCTGCGCATAGGCACCCTTCATGTTGTGGAAAGCGGCGAAAAGCTTCAGCTGATCCACGAACTTGCCACGCACTTCCTTCGTCGTCAGCCCTTGGAACTCGACAGGTTTGCGCCAATCAGGAGATTCCGAGTCAGTATTGCTGCTTGTTTCTTCAAGCTTCGCAAGTGCCTGGTCGATATCCTCAAGACGCTTGGCGTCCAGCTCGTCCGTGTAAATGGCGCTATACTGGTCGCGCAGGAACGTAAGGAAGAGCGGCACCATGAACTTCGTCTTAGCTTCGACCAGGTCGGTGAACTTCATGAGGCCCTTCCACAGCAGCGAATGGTGAGTAGCTGCGTCTGTAGCGCTTGAGGTGGGCACCCTCCCCTGCTCCAGCATACACACACGCTCAAACTCCACGACGACGTCGCTCGTACCTGTCGAGTCGCTTTCCTGCTTTCCATTAGCGTCTTCGTGTCGGAGAGAAGCCACCAATAGCTCAGCACTGATGCAAGGCCAGAGCTCGTTGAACTGCAGGCGAACGGCAGTCTCCACTGCGTCGGCGATGTGCGGCCAGATCGTGGAGAACTTGACGTGGTACAGACCGAGCAACTGGTTCACAGCGATTTTCTTGTACAGTTCAGGAGTCTGTGGCGAGCGACACAAGATCTTGACTCGTGTCACAAGACGCACCACTTCACGTTCAGTGGCCACAGAGATGTTCTTGCAGGAGAGCTCGAGGTTCACGCAAATGTCCGGCAGATCACACGGCCCACTAAGCGATCCGTTGTCGGAATCAAGGAAGCTCAAGCGCTGGAACCGAGCTAGTAACTGCAGCGTCACCAGTCGTAGCTCATGCGCAGGTGATCGCAGCGTTGCAAGAAGAGCGTTTGCTACATGGGGTAACGCGTCGACTGTCAGCACTGCCTGTTGTGTCTCTTCGGGTTGCATATCGATCAGCATCAACAGCGTCGACAGCGTCTTGAACGAAGCCTCTTTTCCCACCAGTGCCTGCTCCACAAACTTCGTTGTGATCGTCGAATCCTTGCTCTTCTGGTGCTTGGCAATCTGCTGTAGCTGCCACAACTCCGCACGCAGAGCCGCAACTTGAGTGGATAGCGCAGAAGATTCGTCCTTCAATCGCACGTCGCACTTCGTGATCAAAGGCATCGTAAAGCTGCTCAGTTTAGCCTCATTCAAGCGCAGAAGCTGCAGCACCTTGCAGAACTTCCAGCACACAGCCAGACTCTCCACGTCATTTGTCTTCTCGTTCTCCTTGAACAGCTTCCGACCAGCATCAAACAGCGTCTTCTCAGCGTTGGCATCAAGCTCGTCAAGCGACAGCAGCCAGTACGGATTGTTGGTCTTGGAGCGAACAATAAACGCGCTCTGGTTCTCATTAATCTCTCCGGCATTGTCTGTAACGTAGTCACCCAGTTGGCACAGCAGAGAGCTAAACGCAGCCACATCTGTCTTCACCAGAGTCCTCAACGCGAACTCGATAGCGTTGGGCAGCAAGAATTCGATCACAAAACCCACGTCAACGTGAGCGTTGTGCAGTTCCTGGGTCACAAACCCCACAATCTTGCGACGCCAGTACTCCTGATTGTCTCCATCCGCAGCTGCAGCAAAAATGGCCTTCATCTGGGCAGAAGTGACCTCGTCGTCAGCAGGGAATAGTCGCCAAACCGCCTCAAACGTCTGCATGAACGTATCGCACAGCTCGGGGCTCTGAGAGACGAGCACCTTGTTTTCAGGCGACACGAGCGCTGCGCAGACCTTGTGTACACTCGGCACACGCACCTCATAGGCATCACTCGCTCCTGTGATCAGCTGTCCCGTTCTCGAAATCAAACACCCAAGCAGCATTCGCAGCACACGACTCAAATACACATCGTCCACCTCTGTGGGAGCGTCCTCCTTGTCATGCCGAATATTCGCCACCTTGTTGACCACCAGCACCAAACACTCGAGCATCTCGCCTGCATGATCCGCATCCGTGTGCTTCATCATGAGTCCGCAAGTCTGGTGCACGATCTCAAACACTGTCTCCTGCTGTTCCAGACATTCCTGCGTCTCTTTCTCTCCCTCTTTCGGGCGGAACGAGCCCAGTAGAAACAGCAGCACCTCTCGCATCCGCGAGTGGAAGCCATGGTTCACGTTCTTCACCAGAGCGAAGAACAGCTTGGCCGATCCGTCTCTCAGGATCTCATTACTGCGCCCAGATCCCTTCACCAGCGCTGTCAAGTAGGCGCGCAGGTATTTCCTCATGGCCTTGGGCGACTCGAGGCGTCTCAGTAGCACAGCCAGCGTCTGAGCTGCAAAGTTGCGGACAAATTCTCTCGGATGACCCAGTAACGGGAAGTAGCACTTGTGCACAGCCTCCATGTCGGCCAATAGCTGCACTCGGAGGTAGCTAAACAGCATTGTGAGTGTTTTAAACACTTGAGTGCTCAGCTCCGGGTCCTTTGTGTCAATTACTGCTACTACCAAAGGCAAGGTGCCCGCAAAATGAGGATAAAACTCCTTGCCGAGCTCTCTCGCCAACGCCGTGACGAGCTTGAGCACGGGCACAAGGCGCTGACGCTGTACGACGGGGTCCTGAGCGTCATCGCGCGCCTCTTTCAGCTCTTTTTGAAGTCTCTTGACCACCTTCTTGAGGTGGTGCAGCAGCTGCGGAGTGGTGGTCACTAGCGGCTGCAGAGCGCGGAACAGGAGCTGGAAACTGTCGAGTGTTGTGAGCTCCGCTTGCAGACCCAGTTCCTCCTTGAACGAGAGCTGCGACGACTCGTCCACGGCGCCTGTCGTCTTGGCATGAAGTGTGAGTTCATGCTGCAAGTTGCTCACGCGCTCCTCGACCTTCTGGAAGCGATGACGACGCTTCTTCGCCGGCGGAGGCTCCATTCGTCAGAGGAAAAGGAGGGAATGCGCCTCTTGAAAGTGTCGTCTCCAAACCAGTCAATGGTTTGGTGGTTCACACGAAGAGGGTAGAAACAGGACAGTAATAAACAAAAATGTCGTGATAGAATTCTATCACAATGTTGTTTTTGGTCGTTTTTGTGACTCCTTTCGAAAAAAAAAATTAAAAGATATCCCATTTTCTCCCAGAATACATCTTTGCGCATGGTACATGTACAAGCAAGCGATCTTTGGATTGTCACACCTACTAGTACATGCATATACTGTATGTTCAGTCATTCGTTGCCATCCATGACTTGAGTGACTGAAGCCTCATCTTCGTCCTTCTTTAACTTATCGACAAAGCTGTTGTTGTATCTTTTTTCCTAGGCACATGTAACCTATGGCTAGGAGTGTTATGATCACTGATGCCGTGTCCATCTCGTTTCACCTAGATTTGACTCAAGCCGGTGCGAAATCTGAATGAAGCTAAATAGTGTTTCTAGTGTGTCACGCGCCAATCGAGGCGAGTTTCACAAACTTCTATTCTTTTACGGGAACCGTTGCAGGCCGGGATTATTTACATGGAAACACACATGCTAACGTTATTAATCATGTCCTCGTACATGATTAAAACTAGCCGTTCGCCGCCGCTACGCGGCGGAGTGGCATGGTTTGTTGGAGATGAGGTGGCCGCAACCTTAGTGCTTCTTGGTGTCGCGTGTTTTGAGAGCGTGGTTCACCCCGTAGATCTTGGCATCGTGTATTTAACCAATTGCGTTTCCGTAGTCTCATTCGGCCCCGTATAATATCGTGGTTTGGAACATTTCTGTTACCCCGTACTACAGGTTGGGTGTTGTTTTCTTCAATGGCCCATGCTCTTTCGTGCTCTTCCCGGCTTCGAGGTTCCTGCTCACCCATGGCCCACGCTGCTCAGCGGTTCTGTCCTCTCTCTTGTGGGCTCATGCTCTTTAGTACGGTCTTTTCGTTAAAGCTACCTGTTTTCCGTTCTCAAACGTTTACGTGGGTTGCACTGGCTTCGTGGTAGATACTATTTCGTGACCGTTGGCCTCCCATCGCCGGTACTCTAACCAACGGGTGCTATTCCGTGCTTTGGTGCCTCCATGCAGTCGTGTGGTTCCATCGCCCGTGCATCGTGATCTCCTGATGAAGTGTCATCGACCGCGGTATCACGCTATCGTGCAATCGCGCTGTGGTTATGCTTTCTATGGTATTGTGCACGTGTAGTGCTTCTGCGTTGTACGTGTTATCGTGCTCTACGATGCCATCGTGCTCCACGGTGTGTAATCGTGGTCATACCAAGCCCACCCCCTGTGCATTTGGTGGGCGGTCCGCAGTCCGTGCAATCGTGTTATCATGTACTGCTGTCCTCCGTGGCTCGGTAAGCTCAGGTTCTACACTGGTATGGTGCTCCGTGACTCGGTGGTTTCGCGTGGCAGCGTGTTCTCCGATGGTTTAGTGGATAACCCACCGTCCATGCTGTCGTGTTATCTCTGGTGTCGGGGCTGGGCTGTCGTCTGTGTTATCGTTAGCTACCGTAGTGTCGCGCTCCGTGGATCGGTGAGCTCATGTTCTACCTAGGCATCGTGCTCCAAAAATTGATGATTTCTGATTTTCCGTATCTGGCCTCCTGCGGGCTCAGATTTGGTCGGTTGACTGTGCTCCATGTTTACTCGTGGTGTTGTTGGAGTATTGTTTCTGTGCACTCTCACCGATACGTGTTCTACCGTTATCGTTAGCTACCGTAGTGTCGCGCTCCGTGGATCGGTGAGCTCATGTTCTACCTAGGCATCGTGCTCCAAAAATTGATGATTTCTGATTTTCCGTATCTGGCCTCCTGCGGGCTCAGATTTGGTCGGTTGACTGTGCTCCATGTTTACTCGTGGTGTTGTTGGAGTATTGTTTCTGTGCACTCTCACCGATACGTGTTCTACCGTGGCTTCGAACGTCCGTGCTCTTCCGTAGCCCGTGCTTTTCAGCATGCTGGGGTGTCTATGTATTTAGTTCCCTTCCGTGGCCCGTACGTTCCTGTCATGTTCTATCCATCTGTTCTTTTCATGGCTGCGTGCTCTTTCATCTTTCACGCTACTTATAAAACTTCGTGGTTTGCATCGGCTAAGTCTTCTATCATCGTCCATGGCCTTCCGTGCTTCGTGTTGCTCTTCTATCCCATCGTGTACATAGTGTAGGTCGGTATTCCTTCGTGTTTCGTGTCCTTGCTTAGACATGTGCATCCGCGCCAACTTAATCACAAACGCTGTTCCCATTTTGTTTGATGTACACAACGTATATTGTTGGAAAGTTCACATAATATCTGAAGGTCGCACACTACGCGCGCAAATACAAAGGAAGACAACAGGTGTAAGCCACAATAGTCATATTTTAAAGTTTTCACATTATTAATAATAGTATTACAATTGTTATTTATTATTATACGCTGATATAATTTTTATGTGTACTACTACTACAAATGACTGCAAGTAAAAATATGAAATGCCTTGATAATAGTACTAAAAAAATAATACTGTAAATTAAATTAGTACAGCAGTACTACGAAGCCTAAAACAGCATTCTAAATTCAATAAGTACTAAAGTTTCGATTGAGGCCGAAATAAAAGTCCCCAGAGCCTACAATTTTTTTCAACAGCTCCTACGACAATATAGTACGTGTGTGCTTATCGGCGCCTTTTAATTATGCTAACTAACGCGTACACAGGCAGCGCCCTTTGCGTGGCCTTGCGAACCGCAGCTGAAAATGAGAGCAAAATAAAATTTAAGTGGTGCTTTTAAGTACGATGTGTAGTCCACATATAGTGTGTACAAAACACAATACCGATTTTAGCCAATGGTGGCCGCATTCGCTGCGCTCGACAGCTTTTTAGCGAATCGAGGCCGCCTTCGCTGCGCTCGGCAGCCAGTAGAACGCCCATATTTGCGTTACATTAATTAACCCTAGCCCGTTACGGACGGACTGACAGACAGACACCAGACTCCAGTAGGGGGGTAAGATAAATACATTACCGCTCTCCTATTTCCGAAATTAAAAAAATCGAAAGCATTTCATTTTCTTTTGTGACGCCTCCAGATAAGATGCCCCAGGACGCGGTTACCGCTAATGCAACCGGCGCTCGCGGTCACGCCGGCGAGCAACGGCTCCTGCCCCGCTGTCGAGGCTCGGGCCTTTCCAATACGCAGTGGGGAGGGCAAGTGGCGCCACCTGAACCCCAGGTCGGAGATAGCCCTTTGGAAGGTGGAGAGATCAAAACCGGCGAGAATCGCAACAGCGACGGCGAAATGGATGAATCGGAAGGTCAGGCGAGCGGTGGAGAGGCGGAGGAATATGTAGAGGCTAGGCGTCCCTCGGAAACAGATTGAGCGGACGATGATGACGCTGCAATTACGTCTGTGGACCCGCCGGTGAATATCACGGCAGTTGGGAAGACTGGCAGGAGTATTTTAAGGGCTACTGCCAACGGACGCTGCAAGTAATACCAGTCAAGGAGGCCTTGTCCAGAGCAGAGCTCAACAAGAGGCTCGAGAAGACGAAGAAGGGTTAAACGAGTCCCAGTTGACGGCTACGACCCGTACCAGCGGACGTATATAAGAAATCCCTTCCACCATTATCGCGACGTCGACAAGCTAATTGTGCTGGTTGTAAGTCTCGCTTGCATTAACTACATTGAATACATGTCTTTAACTTCATTGAATGCAAGTTTGTTTTACCTTGCAACTCAGTAAATTTAACATGGAGCTTTTCATAGAGGCAGCATTGATAGGGCTTCGTCGTTGTGAGCCTAAAGAGCTCTTCGATTGCATTTGCAGACAGGAATTCAGACTTCAACTCGGCTGCCAGGATTAAATCATGGCCAAATACCTGATTAATCATGCTAAATAGTTTATTCATTACAGTACGAATCTGTGACCAGGACATAGTTCTGGATTCAACATGATTAAATCCTGGCTATGATAGCCACACATTTATATCTTCCCACGTCCTCAACGAATCTTCTCGTATCTTCCCCATATGGATACTAATTTAAGTTAGCTTTGAAGTCTCGAATGGTCTCGAATTCTCGAATGGTCTCGAAATGACAAAAGTTGGCACTTTCGCAGTAATTGGCAAAAAAATAAAAGAGACACATGTGTGTATTGAGATCAGGCATTGGGTGTTTTGAACTGAGATTTGCCCGGTCCTATGTGCAAGTCGGCTCTGGGGTGGTTGTATCGAACTCCTGCGGTGGGGAGAACGAACCTGAAATGGTGTAGAACGACGCAGATCGCTGTCCAGTCATATTTGTCAGTCTCACCGCTGCACGCTAGTGGCATCTTCATTGCGGAAAATGAGCGGGCAGCGGCAGGCTGTGAGCATTGGCCGAAAGCAAGAGGTGATTCAGTGGATCGAGACGGCGGGAGAAGGCGTCCCCACTCGAGCCGTTGCGCACTTTCGGTCCCAGGGGTGGAGTGTCGATGGTGGTGCAGTGCGCCGCTGGTGGCGACTGCGCGATAAAATTCGCGCTGCTGCACCACACCAAGCTCATGTAGCTGGCGGAGGCCGCAAGCCCTTGTCGGAGACACTGGAAGAGCTGCTCTATGAGGAATTTGTGACCAAGCGCACCAAGAAGGAGAAGGTAACGCGCAGCTGGCTGGCCGATATGGCACTCGTTCTCTACGCGGATGAAGCTGAAGGGCGAGAAGCATCGCCGCCATTTACAGCATCCGATCACTGGGTCTCGAACTTTATGCGTCGCTTCGAGATATCGCTGCGCCGCCGGACAAACCTGACGGTCCTTGGCGACGAGACCCTTGTGGACCGAGCCGTCCGCTACATGGTGTTTCTACAGGCTCAGCTACCTTTCATCGACTTAGAAAGGACTGTTCTCATGGATGAGACGGCCGTGTATTTCGAAGACGCTCGACAGACCTCGCTGGACTTTGTCGGTGCTCGACACGTCGTGGTTCGCTCTACTGGGCTCTCTTCTATGCGAATTACTGTTGTGCTCGCTGTCAGCGCAACTGGAAGAAAGCTTCCTCCGCTTTTAGTGGGGAAAGGTAAACCTAAACCCACTTTCGAGAATAAACCAGGACCTCTTTACGTGGCTCAGCAGCCTCGTGCCTGGGTGGATAGTGAGTTGCTCAAGAAGTGGATAGATATTGCTTTTCCTCTCGTGGCGCAAGGCGAAGAGAAATGTCTAGTTTGGGACAGTATGAGAGCGCACATTTCGAAGGCGATCAAGGCGAAGTGCGCTTCCAGGAAGATCTCTATGTGTGTTGTACCCGGTGGGCTAACGCCCTACTTACAGGCCGGGGACATCGGCATCTACAAGAGCTTCAACGGTCTGCTCTATGTGGAGATCAACGCCTGGAAGGAGTCCGACCAAGTGGAGTACACCCGCTTTGGTAACCCCCGAATGCCAAGCGTCGACACTGTGTGTGAATGGGCTCGCCGTGCTTGGCGTGATACCGAAGAATCGACTGTGATGCACAGCATTGAAGCGGCAGGCTTTGCGCGTGACCCTAGCGACTGGTTTATCGCCAAGCACGACGTTTACGGCGCCAGATTCCGCAAAAAGTGGGCGGAGGAATCAAAGGACGACGGTAATGCAGACCTGCTGAATCTTTCGGCTCTGGATGACGCGCTGGACGACATCAACCTGGTAGACGAATAGCTTTTCTCTAATAGAGTCCGTACCCCGAATACAAGCCGTTACAACTTTTTGAGTCTGCACTATAAAATAAAGGTCGGACTATAATAGGGCGCGTCCGTTAGTCAAGAATAATCCTGGCGACACAATCTAACTTGAATAAGTATGGAAACCGTTGCAGGCCAGGATTATTTACATGGAAACACACATGCTAACGTTATTAATCATGTCCTCGTCCATGATTAAAATAAATACATTACCGCTCTCCTATTTCCGAAATTAAAAAAATCGAAAGCATTTCATTTTCTTTTGCGACGCCTCCAGATAAGATGCCCCAGGACGCGGTTACCGCTAATGCAACCGGCGCTCGCGGACACGCCGGCGACCAACGGCTCCTGCCCCGATTGCGAGGCTCGGGCCTTTCCAATACGCAGTGGGGAGGGCAAGTGGCGCCACCTGAACCCCAGGTCGGAGATAGCCCTTTGGAAGGTGGAGAGATCAAAACCGGCGAGAATCGCAACAGCGACGGCGAAATGGATGAATCGGAAGGTCAGGCGAGCGGTGGAGAGGCGGAGGAATATGTAGAGGCTAGGCGTCCCTCGGAAACAGATGGAGCGGACGATGATGACGCTGCAATTACGTCTGTGGACCCGCCGGTGAATATCACGGCAGTTGGGAAGACTGGCAGGAGTATTTTAAGGGCTACTGCCAACGGACGCTGCAAGTAATACCAGTCAAGTAGACCTTGTCCAGAGCAGAACTCAACAAGAGGCTCAAGAAGACGAAGAAGGGTGAAGACGAGTCCCTGTTGGCGGCTACGACCCGTACCAGCGGACGTATATAAGAAATCCCTTCCACCATTATCGCGACGTCGACAAGCTAATTGTGCTGGTTGTAAGTCTCGCTTGCATTAACTACATTGAATACATGTCTTTAACTTCATTAAATGCAAGCTTGCAACTCAGTAAATTTAGCATGGAGCTTTTCATAGAGGCAGCATTGATAGGGCTTCGTCGTTGTGAGCGTAAAGAGCTCTTCGATTGCATTTGCAGACAGGAATTCAGACTTCAACTCGGCTGCCAGGATTAAATCATGGCCAAATACCTGATTAATCATGCTAAATAGTTTATTCATTACAGTACGAATCTGTGACCAGGACATAGTTCTGGATTCAACATGATTAAATCCTGGCTATGATAGCCACACATTTATATCTTCCCACGTCCTCAACGAGTCCTCTCGTATCTTCCCCATATGGATACTTATTGCGGCTGCTCGAGGCCAGGATTATTCGACGTGGAATCATACATGTAAATAATCAAAAATAACCCTGGCGACGCAAGGCACCCATCCATTCATCGCTTCGCCTCGCGCCCACTTTCGTTTTGGCAGAATGGGTAACACTTACCCTGAAGACGTTCGTGCACGTGTCCTCGAGGCAGCGAAGGAGGCTGAGAACTGGCGATTGGTAGCAGCTCCCAATGGAAAGATATGGAGGTAGGAAAATGACAAAAGCTGGTACTTTCGCAGTAATTGGCAAAAAAATAAAAGAGACACCTGTGTGTATTGAACTCAGACATTGGGTGTTTCGAACTGAGATTTGCCCGGTCCTATGTGCAAGTCGGCTCTGGGGTGGTTGTATCGAGCTCCTGCGGTGGGGAGAACGAACCTGAAATGGTGTATTCGGGAGGGGATTCAATTTTTTAAAGCCGGTCGATAGGTCAATTGAGGGCATTATTCGGGAGGGAGCTTTTTATTCGGGCGCGTCCGTTATATACATGTATGATTCCACGTTGCCGCCTTCTTTTAACGTTACTTTCTCTAACCCCTACCGCCTTCCCTATAATCGTTAATAACCAATAAAATAGATAACCTTCAATAATGCATAGGAACAAGAATGAGCTACACTCTGTACATTCAATATCCCATAACCCGACACCGGAGCAAGAGGGTGGGTGGGTAACTCCGACCCACAAAACCTCCACTGCGAACCTTGGAGTCATGGATGCTGGTTCCAACGCCGCGAGAGCGTCCTTGGCAGGCTTCGTGTCGACATCTGTTCTGACTTCATCCGACGGGGTGTGTCATTAAGCTCTAGCCTCGTAGAAGACGTCGCACTATTATAAATTAATTTCATTTGAACGTGTCTGTAGCTTTTCGGCGATAACGTAGAGGAAAAGCGTGTGTCGGAGGCACCTGCTCCGCGATCTGAAGACGCCGCTGGCTATAAACCACTGTACGAGCAACTGCAGGAGCGTAAAGAAAGGAAGGACAGCGAGTGGAAAGAAAAGAACAATCCCTTCGGTGTGTGGTTCGGTTGTTAATGGGTGGTAGGGCCTAAAACTAGTCTATCTAACCTTACAACTGCACAGCACCCCCAAAGGGTCTCGATGACGAGGAGTTCGAGTATATTCAGGACCTCGAGAGCAAGAAAGAGGACGTTGAGCGGCAGCGTCAAGCTCAGCACGAGGAGGATCTCGCCCAATTCTGTAAGGACAACCGAATGGATAAGCTGCTCGTGGAATATGCTAAGAAGACCTGACGATGGCGTCATTGGGTTTTGTGTAGTGGTGGCTCGCGGCGCTCCTAGATCTGCTGCAGGTGCGCAGCTTACATCGCAGCATTTGCAGAAGTTCTCGGGGGAGAACGAGCTGAAGACCACGAGTAACAAGAAGACCTCGGTGGTGATGGTTAAAGCTAAAAGGAAGGCAGGAAAAGACAAGGTTGCTTCCAAGAGCACCGAGTCTACTGAAAAGGCAAAAGAGGAGCCACAGAAGAAGAAACAGAAGGTGGACAAGTCGCTGGAGACTAAGTCTAATACAGCAGCACTTGGGCTTGCTGCGTACGGCAGCGAAAGTGACAGTGATGAGGCCGACACAAGCTAGTCCAGACCAGGCAAGGTGAATCAATTACAGGTCTTCTGTTCCATCTACTTAAATGTTGAATCGTTGCCGAAAAGAGACGGAGGATTGACACCGGGCCTTAAAGATTTTGGCTGCAGTAGACGAGGTGCAGCTCCCGCACCGCCGGGTCCACGGAGCGGAGGAGAAGCTTCAACCAAAACTCTTCTGGTTGTGCGTGCTGCCATTCGCTTCGGTCTGTCGGGGGTCCGCATGATAACTGACGAAGTCGTTAAGGCTCGGCGTAATGGCGGTGAGCGATTTTTCCCTGGTGCAGCTGGGCCTCCAACTTGGGCCGCAGCCCTCGACGATGATGATTCAGGTTGCCGTTTAGGAAAGTTAGAACGGTCCGACATCGCTCTGTGAAGAAGAGGTGCTGCTGGTCCTTTCGCGCTGGATTTCACAGCGGCGCGACGCAGCAAATCGGTCTTGCTGGGCTTTCGATCGCTCGACACCAAACCAGTTTTTGCCATTCCAGCCAGCTCTCGAACTCTCGTTTGATTAGAATTGGCCGCTGCACGAAGAAGCGAGTCTTGACTTCTTCTACTTTTGTCGGAGCCATTGCTTTTAGTTGCGGTGCTGCTGTGGGTTTTGGAAACGCGTCGTGACTTTCGAGGCCGTGGCTGCTTCTGCTGCAGCTGGTGAGGTAGTTGAACTTCCTTGAATAATGCACTTGCATCAGGGCGAGCTCGTTTTACTGGTCGTTCCTGTCGAAGAGCTGATAAAATGCTGCTTTTACCGGTAGCTACAGCCTGAGGAGACTCAGCAGGAGACTTTAGTGGCGTCGCAACAGGCTGGAGCAGCAAGATAAAAAGTCAAATCGGTTCTTAGAACATTAGAACTTTCTAATGAACGTACCGCTGGAAGCAATCCTTTCATCGTGTCCTTGTCCTCGTCATTATTTTGCTTCTTCTCTTCTTCCAGCTCGTATATCCTCAGTAAATATCGCACTAGACCTGGCTGCAGCATCTGCACTCTCGGGGCCAATTCGTGTTGCAGGAACTCTTGGAACGGCGAGCGTTCGTCCGCATCTTCATCCGCCAATGAAGGCGGGTTTGCAGCGTCCAGCAGCAGCGCCACACGGTCCATCAGACCTCTGATCTCCTTCTTCAGTCTTTTCTTTTCCTCTTTCTTCTTCTGAGTCAGAACCCCGTAGTACAGCACGCGACACACAAGCTGTAGCAGCAGCACATGCACTTTAGCGATGCGAGGCGACTCGTTGCTGCCCAGGGACGCATTCAGCTCTGGCAGCTTAATTACGAGTTGGCCACCCACTACAGCCAGCCGTTTCTTGAACGTTTTAAGCTGTTGCTTGTCCTCTTCGTTCAGAGCCATCGGCTCCTGGTCATCACTCTTCCGTTTACCAATACGCTGGGCTCGACGATGTAGCTTGGTCCACCACTCGCCACCTTCCTCAGTCAGTAGAAGGTCAAGAAAGGACAGAACGCTATCCACAGGTGTCTTGGTGCTCTGTTGCGAGTCCGCAGTTGGCGTAGATCCCTCTCTAGCGTCCGCCGGTGCTGCCGCCTTCACATATTCCGCACGCCAGTCTCTCTCCATGTTTGCTGCAATTTCGTAACTGTCCTATTTAAAGAGCCTGACACAATGTCAATTGGTGCAAATAGGGCACTTTCACGTGGACACCGAAAAGCGCGGGAAGTCCGCATTTTTTTGACACTCACCATTAAGGCCATGGCTAACATGGACCGGGAGGACGATGAGGCTGCGTCCGTCGAGATGCTGGAAGAAGCGCAGGCGGAGTTGGCGCTTCAGATCCGCAACGAGAAGCACCTGAAGCAGGTTGGCGTGGCAGTTCGTCGGCCTCGCGCTCGCACGTCTTGTGTGAAGGGTCAAGCCGACGAAGACACTAAGCAATGGGAGCTGCTGCTCTTCTCCTTCTCGGACTCGAGTGAGCTGGCCAACCTCGAGTCGCTGCTAGTGCAACTAGCGCCCTCCACATGCTATCTATCGGCGGAACTGGAGCAGTCACAGGGCGTGGGTGACAGCAAGAAGTTGCATGCGCTTCTGCAGACTCACGAAGTGGCTGCTGTCTACATGAAGAAGCAGCTGTTCTACGACGTGAGCGGTGTCGAGACCAACGTCGCTCGGCTACTTGGAGCCAGTACAATGGCCGAGTATAAGGATGTACTGGCGTCCAAGATCACAGCAGGCTCGCTGGCTTGTTTGATCGAGGCTCTGGGCGTCATGACTGACGCCCAGTCCTTCGGCTGCTACACACTGAAAGAGGGGAACCTCTCGTCTGCCATGCAACTGGACAGCGCTGCTGTCTGGTCGCTCAACTTGCTGCCAGAGCCAAGCTCCACGACAACTGGAGTGGTAAGCTTCGGAGGTAGCGTTCTGGAGATTCTGAATCGAGGCAAGACACCCATGGGGCGTCGCTTGCTAGAGCGCTGGATCCGACAGCCGCTACTGGATGTCAAACAGATCGAGACTCGACAGAGCCTTGTGCAGCTCTTCGTGGACGACTCGTCCTTGAGGATGGAACTGTTGGACGAATGCATGAAAGCTCTACCGGATTTGGGACGACTGGCGATCAGTCTCGAAAGGAAGAAACATGCCAAAATTACAGACCTAGTGAGTGTGTACGATGCGGCGGTTGGTGCCATGCCGCGTGTGCTGAAGCTTCTAAAGGCAACAGAGGCTGGTGGAGATAACGACTTGGCTACACTTGTTAAGGAGAAGTTTGCTACTCCGTTGGAAAAAGTGCTTGCCGACCTGGAAGGGTACACGGACCTCGTGAAGGAGGTCGTCGACTTAGATAGTCGCCCAACTCTTGTGGTGAACGCTAAGCACGATGAGAATCTCCAGGCGTTGCGAGACGAATGGGACGGCATCCTTGCGGATATTGAAGAGGAGCACCGCAATGCTCTTGATACGATTGGTGGAGATATCAAGTGTGAGAAGGACAAGGTTCGTGGCTTTGCTTTCCGCGTCGTCAACAAGAAGGAAGAAGCTCGCCTATCCAAACTGTCCTATGTCCACATCTGTCAAGTACTCGTGAGCGGCGTCCAATTTACGACTACCAAGTTGAAGGCCCTTGCTACGGACTATCACCGTGTGCGCGGTGAATACGAAGAACGACAATCTCACTTACTTAGTGCAGCGATCGATGTGGCCAGCACATACGTACCTGTTCTCGAAGCCGCAACTGCTACACTAGCAGAATTAGACGTGCTACTTGGGTTCGCCCACGCTGCATGCCACGCTGGTTCAGGCTACTGCCGCCCTACACTGGAACAGGACGGTGAGTGTATTGTATTGACTAGTGCACGACACCCGTGTGTGGAACTTCAGGACGGTGTCGACTTCATACCAAACGACTACAACTTCGTGCGCGAAAGATCACGTTTCCAACTCGTGACCGGACCAAATATGGGTGGCAAGAGTACCTACATTCGCCAACTGGGCACAATTGCAGTGATGGCACAAATTGGTAGCTTCGTTCCAGCTGAGGTTGCTCGACTGCCTGTGTTCGACAAGCTGCTAGTACGCGTTGGTGCTGGTGACCTGCAGCAGCGAGGCGTATCAACGTTCATGCTAGAAATGCTAGAAGCGTCTGCAATTCTGCACAAGGCCACAGAGCGTTCACTTGTGATTATTGACGAATTAGGTCGAGGCACATCCACCTATGATGGCTTTGGATTGGCGTGGGCGATTTCTGAGTATCTACTCACCAAGGCACGCTCCATGTGTCTCTTTGCAACACACTTCCACGAGTTGACGGCGTTGAAGCTGGAGCACCCTCACGGTTTCGCTAACAAGCACGTTACTGCCGTTGCCAGCGACCGGGAGATTACTATGGTATACCAGGTGCGAGACGGGCCGTGTATGCAAAGTTTTGGTGTACACGTGGCCTCAATGGCAGGATTTCCGAAGTCAGTCATAGAGTGCGCCCGACTCAAAAGCCAGGAGCTTGAGGGATTCGAGCGCGCTGTGGGTAGTCAAGAAACCACTGGAGCCAAAAGATCTGCTGCGGATGCGCTGCTCACCGATAGCGAATCCCCTTCGAAGGTATTTGTATCGGAGAAGGGGTTCCTCACTGCATTTGCAGCTCTGCCTCTCGACAAAATGGAACCTGCTGAGGCATTTGCTGCTGTTCGTAAGCTTGCCCCACAACAGGACCATAATTAATACCAGTAAGGTACAGCACGTCGTGACTGAAGTCTGTTGGCGTTGTCACTTGGAGAAAATCTACCCAACTTAAATATATCCAGTAGTATCGTTCTACCAGAGCACCTTGCGAGTGCTTTGGCAACTTCACTACGTGTAGATACCTGCACCTTGCAACTATTGTATAGTACTTCAAAGTACTGCCTACCTGCATTGATACACCATTTTTGGGTTCCTAATCCCTGCCTCTCCAGGTTAATAGACGAAATGTTATCGTTGAATCGATGTTCTCAATATCTCAGGGCTCTAAATACATGTACCGGTAATGTCATTAATCGCATTTCAAAATTCGAGGTTCCATGTATTAAAATCTCTCTTCCCATACATAATGAATGGCGGCTCGTGAAAATGCAATAAAATTAGGAACTGGATAAAGTCGGGGGCTCTGCGTCATAAAAAAGTAATATTCAAGTACCGTATTCCTTATGTGATTGGCGACAGTCAAATTCTTGAGGTGGTACAGCCTTTCTGCCAAGCATAAAAGATACCTGCATCGAAAAAACTATATCACATGCTCAAAATTATATTGGTCGCCAAGCACATAAAGCGCGACAACACGAAATTTAAATCAATTTGATTGGCTGCTGGATTTGTCGCTAATGACCGAGCGTCGCCAATCACATAAGGAATACGGTAGGTGGATAAATTTCCCTACGTTTGAAAAATAGAAATAAGGAAAAAAGCCACTCCCCCCTTTTCACCCATCCTCCGCCGTTTCCAAGCCTTTCATTTTAGAATCCAACCCCGACAATGGAAAGTGCTGCGTCGTCGTCGGGTGCAGAATCTGAGAGACCAAGCAACGGCGGCTTCCCCCCCACACTCACGTCCCTACTACAGCTTCTGTGTGCGCGCCATGTATGGTACAGCTCTACTACACAAGCTGGGACAGCTTTTTCGCCGCTTTGACTGAGTATCAAAACGCTACTCATCAAGTTTTCCGCAAACGAACATCGACAAGTGTCGCTTCACGCAACGATGAGCTGAACAAACAAGGGACACTGACGCCTATAACACAACTCCCGCTGTCTTTTGAAACGTATTACCGCAGGTTCTGTTGCACACATGGTTGGAGGCGTCCAAGCCGCGCTACAGGCAAGCGCAAAAACTACTTCGGGAAGTCCACAAAATGCGCAGCACAACTTTCTGCCACGGTGGTCTGGATGGCTAATATGGGTTCCGAGTGAAGGTGACTCAGCAAAAAAATTTGCACAGCCATGGGTGGGTGCGGCGTCGTTCGAAAACCACCCGGCCAACCGCCGCGTTGACGATGCAGACGTGATTAGCTTCGCGGACGAGCTCCAAATGGCGGGTGCGAAAAAGAAGCGTATTCTGGAATACTTACGCAGAAAGACAGGTACGTCTCCTTATAGTATGTTATTCGAAGCCGACTATTACTCGAGATGGATACACGGCTCAATGAGCGCTTTTCCACATAGAGAAGTCGCCCAATAGTAGTTACTGAGTACGTCAACTTCTTTCAGGTACTGTTTTACTGGTGACGGATCCAAAACCCCTTGACTCCAAACTTTGTCGACTGGCTCCCAATGCAATCTACCTGTTTGTTCACCCATCTAATAGCACAATCGATCCCATTATAATTAGAGATTGCAGAATGCCACGACCTCATCGCTTTCAGACTACATATGTCATATACCCATTTTCCAGCTGTCACAGTAATATCATTCTGGGCGATCTGTTTGTCGTGGTCACTAAACCACCGATTCTGGAATGCAGCGACTTTATCGCTACACGATTTTAGTGTTTGAATCGGCAACACAGTCGAAATTTTACACGTGAGCGTCGGGAGTTTAGTTTTTCGCTGGTGTACAGCTAATTTTAAGCTTTTGTTGCGGGAAATCGATAGGGCACGTAGCGCTGGTACATACTTATACGAAGCACCTGTTTGGATGGCCTCGAGGAGAATGGATACAGAAGGATCTGGTTCTGTTACTATTGATGTATCCCCCGCTGTCGCTGATTTATCACACATTTCACCCACTTCCGATATTACATCCGTGTCAACAGAAGTGTCAGCTGATCGCTAGTGACATCGTTGAGTTGTTGCCGCGCTCTGTAAAGCGTTCTGCGCTTCTTCACCAGAGAAATCCGGTCTCTTGACTGGACCTGAGCGGTTAATGCTGTAGCTGAAACGGTGCCATCAGCGGCAACTGCGCTGCTGAACGTTGGTAGCTCTGCAATCTGGCGACCAGTGGGATTGGCAGCTGATAGACAATTCTCGTGCTCCAAGTTCACTGAAGAAACCCACCAAGTACCAAAGGAATTGCCCCTGCGTTTGGCACTATAGACACGCACGGAAAACGGGCAGTTCCTTGATGAACAGCTGATAAAACGATGGTTTCCACTCCGGTTCGTTACTCGTACAGACCTCCCATGAGATAAAGCATAGTCTTGAACAGCATGAAGAGCATGTGAAGCAGTATCAAAAGTCATTCCGACTTGAATAGTGTTTTCCTCATCGCCGTTTTCCAATCCATCAGCGATGTCGTCGATGTCCTCCGCCATTTTGCGTCCCTCAGTCGTAACAAGTGGTTTTGGGACTTAAGAGTGTACGATTTGGGTCCTCATACGCATGGCGATCATTAGTATACAACGGGTTTTGGGGTTTGGGTCCGGCCCACCTTGTTTCAGCCATTCAATCGATTGGACACACATTCTTATGTTTGTTCTCTAACATTCCTCACTTACTGACGCGGGTTTCACTTGGTACACCTACCGGCGATACCGACCCCACTTTGCTCACGTTTTGGCACACCTTTAACTTTCTGTCACAATTTTAGTGTATCCACTCACATGTTGTCATTTTCCCCCTACCCCGCAGCCGCATCATCTGCGTGAAAGCTGGAGTCTGTTCGAACAACATTCACGCGGATTAAATACTTCGGTTAGTCGTAATTTACAGTGATGTTACCCTTGGCCGCCACGGGCAACATTCCTCTGGGATACATCACTGTTACATATGATATTCAGTTATACCACTGTACGTAGTACATTACTTTGCTTCTTTATAAAAGTAAAATTGCTGTTTTTGGTAGCTAAAATGACAAGTTATGCAATTTTTAATAAGAAAACCCACTATTTTGGGTACGACAATCCAATGTAGATCTTATATAACAGGCGTATCAAGTGCTGAAGTAAATTTATACAAAATTGTGCTGAAACGTTTGTTTGGGATCTTAGTATAGGAAGTAAGAGTAGTTTTGGGCTTTAAACAAGTAGCATTAATGGTGATGACAACTTTACGAATAAAAATTAGGTTTTATGGGCTTAAACCACAGACACTGGGTGCCTTCCATAAATAGCATAAGCACGTGTCATATTTGCAGCAGATATGTCAAAGTTTAAGATGACATAAATTCTCGTGAGACGTATATTTGGTCTCACGAGACGCACCTACCCCTAGATTTATGTCGTGTAGCCATCTTAAAATTTAATATAGAAATTTGTAAACTTTATGTCGACCATCACTCTGATAGAAGCCAGCAACTTAAACTCTGGCATAAAGCTCCGCAACTTCAAGTTGGCCATCACTTTCGATTTCTGCCAGAGGCGAGAAGAGGTGGGTGACAAGCAGTGAAGTTTATGTGTTGCTAGTTAACGCTCATGTATGTGTCTACAGGAGACATGGTGCATCTAAGACACCCCGGACTGCACTGGAAGGTTCGCTGCGTGCTTGACAGCGACGACGAGAATACTCCTCCAAACGTCATGCAGGGCAGGGCATCGCCGAAGACCAAGGAAGTACCCGATAGCCAGAGCACTGAGTCCGATCTGGCGTCGTCAGGGACTGCTACGCCTCCATGGTTATCGCCCGGGCTCACGAATCGCGTGCCGAAGGACAAGTCGAGCTTGCCATCATCGCAAGATCTGAGTGCTGCAACTCGCAGTCCGGTTAGTCGTCGTTTACTTGCCAGTCCTACGACATCCTCCCCGTTGCTTTTGGAGACTCCTCCACGTTCTCCTGTGCGACTTGCAGCACGTTCGAAGACATCTGCGGCTCGCCATGGGCGTCGTGAAGCCCGCCGAAGTGCATCTGGCCCATATGCTCCGCTTAACCGCGAACTGCTTGTGCTCAACGAGAACGGGTCGTTGGTATCTTCGCCAGAGACCCCCCGTCCTCTGCCAAGGAGGTCGACGGCGCCTACACTCCAGCTCTTCGTGCCTGCGCGGTAGCCAAATCGTTTTATACACCTCCGCGAATCCTATAACCTTTCGTACATTCGGTTCCCGTACGTGCCGCACTTCGGCTGGTGTACATGCTCATCGCCGTGCCGGGTCGGAGTCTGTCGCAACTCGCTCATGGATGTATTCTGTAGCGTCAACACCTGCCCATTTGAAGGAAAGTGCGGTAACGGCTTGGCAGAGTCTCCGAAGGTATTTCTGGGGCGCAACGTGCGTACATCATCGCTGGCGGTGGTTGCGGCGGAGGACATCGGCGTCGGGGAGGTGATCGGGCAGTATCTCGGCGAGCTTGAGCACCTCAGTGTCTCGCGAGCTCGGCGCCCGCGGAACAACGGATATCGATTGGTGATGAAGCAACGCCCCGAATCTCCGGCCCACCGCGTTCAAGTCGCAATAAATGCAGAAACCATGGGGGGATTGATGCGGTTCGCGAACCACTCGTGCCGGCCGGTTGCAGAGTTCTTGGAGGTCAGCAATGGGCGACGAACGACGGTCGTGGTTGCGACGACAGCGCGCGTCCTTCGCGGAGAGGAGGTCACCGTTGGTTATGGGGACGACTTGTGATTCGTCTGTCGCTGTGGCCTCGATGGATGTGTCCACAGAGACATACAAGACAAGCAAGATTCTTGAGCCAAGGCTCGACGAGGCGAGGTAGCAGGCCGCCACGGAGAGCGGGTCACGGACTCACAGGGGAGATGTAGAGTCGTAATTGGACCTTCCGTAGGTACGAGACTCCCGGAAGACGGCACTCAATCAAGATT